TGGGACATACATCATCAGGGGCGGATCTAAGACTATGAAGTTGTCGGTGGGGGAACATGGCGAACACAGTGAACCCCCAGCTGGGGGGTTTGGAAGGGAGCACTAAGCCCCCCCCCCCGAAAATTTTGTTTGAATTCTGACCAATATCATGGGCATCTTAAGGCCATGTGCACTTGATATTAGGAGATATTCTGAGGTTAATAGTAATTACTTTTTTACTTTACAAAAACGCCTGTGTACAATACTGCATTAAAAAGGTATTGAAAATTTCTGATGAAAAGGTGGGTCCGGACCCCCAGTACTTACCCCTTGGATCCGCCCCTGATCGTGGGACTAGTTATCATACATGACCGTATACTGGCCGATGCAGGGGGGTGTCCTGCGGCCGAGGCCTATCCGTGATGGAACTGCCTTTCACATCATTTGAACACACAAGCTTAGGCATTTTGCTGGTTGAAGTCACCTATAACCCAGACACGTGTCGAATATAACATTAATCTTGACCATGCCTACATTATTAGTGGCCAGCTACTACGGGGGGCCCCGCCTGTGACTTTTTCTCTTGGCTGTCACATGATCAAACCAACTCCACATTACTCCTACGCTTCCTTGAATATCCAGACAGAAATGACTGATTATCTCTATCTTAGGTACTCTTTATTCACGTATATTAAGCACAAAAGACAGCAAGGGATAGCGGAGTAACTAATTCAAGATATGTAAACAGTTCAACCACGAGACACTCTGATGTGAGGGACAGTCCAAATCCCATTGTAATATTGACACATTTTCTCATTTTTCTAGTGTTCGTTATATTATTCCAGTTAATAAAATAAATTATTATAAGTATCGTCAATCATAGTGTCCTGGTTTTAATTCCCTAATGAAAAATGTATAAAAAAAAACACTAAAATTGAAAATCATTAAACGGATCAAGATCTTACCTTTGATTTTGACGAGTCGGGTTCGGGGGTGTGAGGAAGAAGGGGCTCGGGATGGGTCCGAAGTGGGTTATGAGCCCCCGCCCCTCCCCATGCACTTCGTACCCATCACACCAAGCCGTGGTCGCGCGCACACAATAGGACGATGGGCGGCGGCTCCTCACAAGTCGAGATAATCAAATGACGATTCTCGTAAACAGACTGGAGGTGATAACGCCCGCTCGGATTCCTCCTCGGCGGGTTGTGGCTAATACTAAACGGAGAGAAAGGCCCAATATATGTCTTATCGTGATTAATTGTCGGTCCTCCGTGTCGGCAGTAATGCAGAGATCCATGAAAAATACCGTCGGTCACCTTCATCCCCAGAGAGATGCGCGCCAATCAGCTGGTCATGAATCCAGCACCGTGATTGGCTGAACACATGTAAGGCGACATTCATTGTTAAGTTTTATATCATTCTTTTTTAAAATTTCTTGCTATATTAATGAACGGTGACACATCAGATCATCGGTGTTTTCTCTAAAAAAGACACCGGAAAACAAGTTCTGAGTCATTAAGTAAATAGAGATAAGGTTTTAACAAGACAGAGGCCGAAGGCAGTAGTGAACGCTGAGATATGTTCACGTCAAAGTCTTATACAGTATATAGTCTCTGGTTCACGTGTTCGTTTATTTTACCTCCTACAGTGACATATTCTTTGAAAGAATAATAAAATATACTTTTCTCTTTCTCTTATTACCAATGTTTATATCCCGAATATTTTAATTTATTAGCTTAGTTTTTTATTTGTTTTTTTGCACATTAATATTATTTTTTTACCTGTGAACATTTTCCCTTTGAACGTCATTATCCATGGACATTTTTCATGCCCTTTTTTCTCATAAGTTTTCCTCATTAACGATTTCCCCATTCAACGTTTCTGTTCCTATGAACGTTTTGACCCATGGGCGTGTATTTGTTTAATCTTGGGCTTTTTTTTTACCCATGGACGTTTATATTTATCCACGAACTTTTTGTACCCATGAATGTACCGTGAGCGTTTAGTATCCCAACGTCACTTCACCCAGAGGCCACAGGAAGAACCGGCAAAAGAAATAAACAAAACGACCTTCCTGCCGCCGCGCCCCCAAAGAGACCGCAGCAGAACCGCAAGGTAAAATTAGACTGCGGCATCTGCGGCTGGCATCTCACCTTTTACAATGTAGCCGCATAAATTATCACGTCGTAAGTCTTGCGTCTGGATTGTTATCATAATGGTGCGGCTACTACGCGGCCTCCTCTAAATCAAACGCACCGATCAGGTACTACTACTACCACCCCCTCCCTCTTAGCCCGACTCGCTGTTAGCGCGTTTTTATATTATTATTTTTCTTTTGTGTTGTTTTTGTAGTGTTCGTACGATATTTCGTGTTTTCTTTCGTTATTTTACCTGACATTTGTTCGAGCATTTTTATTTAAATTAATGTATAACTTATCACTTAAGATCCAGCGCTCTTTTATTCCCCCAATTGTTATTTTCCCCTCAAGCTTTCGCGCGCTTTTTGTAATTCATTCAGCAGTTGTTATTCCCCGAGTGTTCGAGCGCTTTTATAATTCATTCAGTCAGTATTCCCAAAAGGTTCGCACAAGTTCTTCACTCCTAGAGCTACTATTTTCTAATCGTAAGCATGCCTACATTTTGTTTTACTTCTAATTACCTATTATTGTTTTCCAAACGGTCTCTTGCCATTTGCGGAGACGTTATTAATACCCCAAACGTAGTATTAACACGGATGTTTCGTGTTCTTGTAATTTGCTTTTGTGGGCGGCCAGCGAGCGAGAGAGGGTGGGGCGAGGTGGAGAGGGACATGGAGGAGTTGGGGTGGGGCTGCGGGAGAGGGGGGTCCACGGTGCAAAGATTACTATACTCTACCTGTTTTGATAGTGAATTATGGCTGGCCCGCTGCCTTGTGATATTACGCCGACGCAGGCTTGCTTGGCCCATTTTATACTCCGTCTGGTGCCCCGGGGAACAAGAGCTTGTGGTTGAATCCGCAGTAGTATTTGGTGGAGATTTAGTGTTCCTGGCAATACGCGCTCCACAACATACTGTAACGTAAAGCCAGCTCTCAAAGCTTCCTAATCTACTCACTTCAACTATGGTATAAAGGCAGATTTTCAAAGACTCGCAAGTTAAATTTTCCCCATAATTGGCCTTCTTAACCTTTAACATAAAAATCAACTCTCAGAGGCTCGTATATTCCAACTAATATAAACAACGGCACCAAAATGGACCATGAGGGCTGGTTCGTCTGTTGAATACTGTTACTGTAGTTCATATGAGAAGTTGAGAACACGGCTACATAAACTACGGCGTCAAGGTGATTCTCACACATACGCCGTTAATTTTCTCAAGGGGACTGTGATTTAGTCGGTCAGCGTGTTATATTCCCGTCTTAGGTTTGGCGACCACGGTTCCCCACCTCCAGTGTTCACCATCTCCCCAAACTAAATATGTATAAACTCGTGTGATTATCATATACGTCACGACACAAAATGGCATCGAATTGTCACTGAGACTTTACTGTTACTAGGTGCGTTCGGTCATTTCTGTTTGGTTGGGAAAAATATGGATTACCTGAAGATTAGCCACTCCAGCATATTTCACCTAACCTAACCTAACCTAACCACCACCAAGTAGCGTTAGGGTCTTTAATTATTAGGTATAATAAGGTGAAAGCTAATGATCATGTGATCCCATGTAAGATTGTGTACATTAATGGTTTGTGTACCTGCCCCAGTGACGTATACAGGGGGGCATGTGGCCAGTCCTCCTTTTGCTACTCCCTCAGCTCATTCAACCCAACACAACCAGTTCACGAAGACGTAAGCACATGGAAATTAGTTCAGGCCCATAGTCAGGGTGGGAAAACCCCATCAGAACAGAGATTTCCGCCAGTATAATATTTCTCCACTGTGCAGTTTACACAATATTATTTATTTCTTCACACAAAACTCAGTGTGGCTAGAGGTAAATTATACATAAGCTTCCCCTCACCTGATCCTCGGACGGCAATGTATTGAATGGTATACGTGCGCCGCGCAGTGCGCTGGATCAGTCACCCTCACATGGTATTATACGTCTTGCATATTTTCCTTTAATTGAGTGATGGGAATGACTGTATCTGTGTACCTCAGCATTTTTAAGTATACAAATATGTAGGGAACAGTTGCTAGTGACCAGAGAAGCCCATCATCATTGAGTGGGGCTGCTTGCTAAATTCCTGACTGATATCAGTTTGAGTGATTGAATCATATGGATAATGCCAATGTGATGAAGTACTAATATTGGCCGGTATTATTGCAGTTTCACTCCTAATTAGGTTAGAGCAATTTTGAGTTCACCGGAAGTTATATTTCGTCAATTGCAAAAAATTTTTTTATATAATATCATTTCCGTCACAAATGGATAATAACCGGGATGGTAAATTCACGTAGGAAATTCACACAAATCTGCGGTCACCGAGTGTCGTCTGTTTGGTTACAACTGACCTGCTCGGTCTGAGCGTACAGTACAGTAGGTCCTACTCTCTCGTCCACAAAAAAAAAAAAACGTAAAATTACACCATGATGCTTCAACAAAGTTACTTTCACTGGTATCAGATATGAGAATAAGTACTTTCTGTGGTATTATTATAGTTCGGTCATCCAGAATCTTAAGGGGGGTCTGGCGCCCCCAAGTTAGGTTAGGTTAATTTGGATATCTAAATACTGTACAGGGATGACCGAAAAGATAAGTTTACCCTTTGTTTAATATGGCGGGGGTCTGAGGGGTCGAACTCCCCCGGCTAGGAAGTTAGGTAAGGTTAGGTAGATTTCTTTGGATGGTTAGGTGATACAATATGACACGGGTGCCGAATAAATTTTTAGTGGGTGTACGTTGTATGTTTACGCAGAATATTGCACCTGCATTGTTTATGTACATTATATACTTGCTCTGTCCACATACATGATGAATAAATGTAACTTTTTTGACGATTTTACCAAATGTCTATCTATCAATATATCCACTGATACCAGGTGGGTGGTATTGTTTCGACCGTGAGAGCTGTGAGCAAAGATGGAGACGCCTACGACCACTCATGACTTCTAGAGGCTGGCCCGATACCCGGCACGTTGGGGGCATCCTGTCCCCACACCCTGAGGAGAACCCCCATTGGTGGACAGCTAATCATGTGTGAGTACTGATTAACGAGTTAATATTCCGTAGTGACCATTCACGGAACTTTATATTGACTCTATATTGGGAGTCACAGCTCAAGGTTGAAGAAGCCGCAAGTCCAGAAAACTGTGAGGGGTAACTTTTCGGAGTGAGAGTTGTGAACTCTTAGAACTGTTTGCCATCACAGTTTTACGGACTCCATTTGGTCTCCATTAATGCAGTCTCTTCGTCCTGTTGGGACATATGATATGCCTCCTTATTATTGGTGCGACCTAAGTGCTTCCTTTTGCACTTCGTGACATTGAATTTTAGCAGCCATTTCTTCCACCATTCTTGAAGCTCACAGAGATCTTTCTGCAGCTCTTCACAGTCTGTTTGGTTCTTAATTTCCCTAAATAACTTTGCATTGTCCGCAAACATTTGTATGGAGGAGTGTATAACTTCTGGCATGTCATTAATGAAACAAACAAACAACAACGGGCCCAGTACACTGCCCTGTGGTACCCTGCTTGTCACAGGTACACAGGACGAATTCGTACTATTATTATTACCACACACTGTTTGCGATCATGCAGAAAGTCTCCGATCCACGTTAATTAAAAGGTGTAATGTCTTGTCTCTGGTTTTCAATAGGTTTGTGCCGTACTGCTCATCAGACTCATGGTCAGGGACACGTCGAGCTGAGGATGGGTCAGGGGAGTTCTCCTTCATGGGCAGCGTGATCCTGGAGGAGGTGGTGAAGGCTCTTGTCTCTCTCAACTTCACTCATGGACACAAACTCATCTTGGCGGGCAGCAGGTAAGTTGAAGCTTTTAACAATGTGATGTGTTCAAGTCACGCTCTCTCGCTACCAATCCAACCTTGTTTGAGTTAGATTTTAATTCCTGGAGCCACTCACACTTTCTTCAGGTTAAAGTCACTGTCAGAATCGTCAACCATTAATTATCAGACTTCACACCATTTTTTTTTTAGTGTAGACTCTGGGCAATATCTGACTTCTATTTGTGGTCATGTGTGAATGGTTCACAGCTGGTGAACACTGTTTATTATACACTGCATCAGGATAACATGACGAATGTTGCTAGATTTGAAGACATTTTGTTTGCAACTGTACTGTACTTGTACCAAAGTAGATCTGTCGCTGAGACCATAAAACTACAAACACAATATCCCAATTCCATGTTTAATATACAGTACAGTTCAATGAATGTATATACATTAGGAGTGAGATGTACATTATATAGACAGTTGAATTGTATTTTAAAAATGTTTTCTGCCTTCAGCCCATCTATGTAGTATTTCTTGGAGCTAGTCACCCTAATATTCTGTACAAGTGAGGTCACGATTGTCAGATTTCAAAGGTTCGCAGTTGCGGGTGCGGTTGTCAGGAAATCACAACTGTGCGATTGCGGTTGTTTGGTTTAACTTTAAACTTGGATTTATGCTCTGACGTGTGTGTGAACTTGTCAAATTATCCTCCTATAATTTTATTCTGTGAAATAACCATAATTTTGAGCAACACATTACTGTACTCTAGTTTACTTAAATGTATACTGTACTAAGCTAAAGGACTACAATTTTATCTGTACTAAGCTAAAGGACTACAATTTTATCTGTACTCTACTTTAGTGTACTTAAATGTACTGTACTAAGCTATAGGACTAAAAAAATTAATCTGTACTCTACCTTAGTGCACTTAAATGTACCGTAATAAGATAAAGGACTAAAAATTTTAACTCTTGTACAAACTATGAGATGTTTATCCTCAAAGTAATCATGATCTTGCAAGGGTTCCAGCAATGTACTTTACATTCTGTTAAGTCAAGTTTGTGACATTTTATAAGAGAAAAACTAAGTTTAAACCAAATTCATCCTGTAAAATCCTGATCACCGCCATCTCACCTCCCCCGCTGACTGGGGGGAGCAGGAGGTGGGGTGTTTCACAGCCAGCGAGGAGAAATTAGTTGTCAGTGGAGGAGGGGGAGGTGCAGGTCAATGACTCAGGATTATACAAGACCAGGATATTTAAGTTTTCTCTTATAAAATGTCACTGACTTGAATTGGCAAAATATAACTTACGGTATATTGTTTCACAACCGTGTGGGTTCGTGCGGTTGTTTCGGTTGTGGTGGTTGTTATAATTTATACGTTTGCTCCACAGTTGCAAAGTTTCATGACATCACTACACTGTACACTATATACCTAAATGTTCAAAAGTGTAAATGTGCATTGGTACTAACAAGTGATGACAACAGTGCAGGTGGTGTAGGGGTGCTGGTGAACGTGGACCATGTAGCACGTCAGCTGGAGCACCTGGGCATACTGGCAGAGGTACGTGCTGTGTCAGACTCTGGCTGGTTCCTCGACAATGAACCATTCGCTCCTCTCAAGTGTGTAGATGCTCACAGCTGCCCACCGGTGGAGGCTATCAGGCGGGGGCAGGAACTGTGGCAGGGAAGGATACCCGACCACTGCAGGGACGAATACCCACGTCATCCATGGTATTGCTACTTCGGCTATCGGCTCTACCCAACTTTGAAGTGTAAGAATGACTTGTAATGACATGAACCTCCACAGCATATTAATATGCCCAGTTCTAAACTACATGAGGTAGAACACAATTATTTAGCCTAGTAAGTTATTTTAAACAGCAGTAATGCATATGATACAAAAACTGTCACTGAATAAATAAACAAAATTACTGTAAAGTATTATGAATCAACACAATTTTTTCAGTTGATTTTTTTTTTACATAAACAGTTGGAGCATTGTTATATTATATAGGTTCATGCAGACATCTCTAATCATCATAAGCAAATACAGTTTACCTGTGAGCTGTAAACAGGTGGGAGTTTATATTACTGGTACTGGCATTTTTTAATTTTTTTTTTCAGAATCAGAAACATAACCATAGGAGTTAACATATACTATACAATAATCTGACGATCTGTGGTGTAATGGTCAGCATGCTCGCCTCGCAATCGAGCGGATCCGGGTTCTATCCCCAGGCAGGGTGAAATTATGGGCAAGTTTGTTTACGCGATTTGCCTCTGTCTACCCAGCAGTAATTGGGGACCTGGGTGTTAATCAATTTGCAGATCGCATTCTGGGACATTGGTTAGCCAGTGAGTTGTCTGGTGTTCTCGAATTATTCTTTGACACTGGGTCATGCAATTCGCTAACTCAGGGTGTGGTTGTTGTGTTGGCGACATCTACACTTTAAACAAATTCACGCCGAGGTGGGAATTAGGCCGATCATCCTCATTACACGAGGGACAACCATTACTTTTACTGTATAATCAAAATTATTTATTTTTAAGTACCACATATTTATATTATGAAGATTAACCACCTTAAGGCTATCCTATCCTAACCCTCTTGGTAGCATTAGAGAGTTTAATCATCAGGTAAGATAAACTAATCAACTGGTGATATGTCACTTTCATTAGCTGTGTTTCTGTGCTTTACTGTAGTTGTAACTGGTACTAATGCCACTGTTACTGCACTCCCCAGCACCCCTATTCGTGTTCCAGTGGATGTTTGACGAGGCTCAGATGACAGCAGATAATGTGGGTAAACCCAACTCCAAGGAGCAATGGGATTATATTCATGGTATTGGAGAACGACTTAGGAAAACGTTTGAGAATGTCACGTAAGTCATTAATGTATTACACCAAATGTTAAGAATATTTTTACAATATATCTGTTCATATGTTATTTATTTATAATGTACAATATTTTATTTTATCATTCCCTTTTCCAGAATTAATAAGAAAGATTGCATATTACACCACCACTATAGCCATCAATTAATTTATTGTTTTAAAATCCTGTACTGTATATCACATTATTTGTGGTAAGATTTTAGAGCACTGAAGCAATTGTTTAAACCCATCTGGAATGTGTTCAGGTCTGAGTTTGCCCAGGAAAGGTCTGAATCTTATTTCAAACCATACTGTGTACCAGTTGAAGCAAAAATGAATTCCAGTAAATTTTTACAATGGATAACTTAACCATGCTTCATCAAAATACAAGTTTTATATCTATGCCCTGTCCACTGTATTACATATACAACTACAGTATATACAGTATATTTCAGTATAAACAACGATCTCTTCTATTCCAGGGCACTGTTTGCTCCTTCCTGCATATCCCACACAGTCCTCACCAAGAGAAATTGGGCAAGTGTTAAGATAGGGGAAGTGTCACTTCCTCAAGCCCTCTACTGCTGGGACATCACACCCTCTGATGTTCTCGCCGCCAAGACTTCAAGAGGCAGAGGGAATAACATACGTGGTGTTGATGGTGGCAGGAAAAAACAGACCACGGTTCAGCACCACCGCCAGCGACAACAGCGTACAAATAAAAAGCGAGACAGAGGGAATCAAAGAGAAGGAAATGGTGAACGACGGAGAACTAATAACCAGGGAGACAGTGAGAGAAGGAGACACGGCCGGCGAAGGGGTAAAAAAAGGAAGTCTCAGGCATCAAGTAGGGAACGTAGTGGTGACAGTGTACAGAGTAGTCCCTTGGTGCTTGAGAGTCCTCAGCACAGAGTGAACGGTAGTGGTAACAGTAGTTATGAAACTAGTGTTGACACAATTCAGTCTCAGGAAACAATCAGACAAAATATTCTCAGTGGAGAGATGCTCGCTGACTCACCAAAGAATAGTTTGCGAGTTTCCTCAAACCCAGGATCTCCTTATTTGGTTGAGTCAAATTCCATTGACACACCTCAGGAAAATGTTCAAATAATGCAAGCACAACAAAGAACACAAAGACCAAATAAAGGCAACAGTGAAACCTCCAGGAAAGGTAGGAGACAGAAAAGAAAGAGAAGAAGAAAGGACAGAGAAAGAAAAAAGAGAAAAAGAGAAAGGAGACGCAAGAGACGTGAAAGGCGAAGAAAACGTCTGGAGAGGAAGAAAAGAAGGGAGAGAGAGAGAGAGAAAGGTAATAATTTATCTTACATTAATTTTTGTTTGAGTAATTTGTTGATATTGTTACTGTCGATGATATTATTACAGAAACATAGTTGCTCACAGATTCACAAATCTATTTTTATTTTTTGTTTATGCAATTTGCCACAATATCAGTTCTGTTCACAGTAGGGTAGAACACAGTGGGCCAGAGTGCCAACCCAGGGGATGTTTCTCAGGGTTGTTTCAGTGTTTTGATTCTGTTCTCATTATATAAAGTAATCTTACATAGGAATTAGCTGGAAATACTGTAACATCAGGGTGATAAAATACGACTAAAATAGCTACAATTCCTGGAAATCATATACAGTGATATCCTCGCTAGCCGGAATAATTGATGCAGAGCACTTCCAGGAATGAGAGATTTCCGGTTAACGAGACGACTCTCTCAAAGCCGGAAAAAATCCCTCATCCCCGAAATTTTCCAGGTATCGCAAAAATTTTCTCGTAATTTTCCGGAAAATGTGATCCTCGGAAAATCGTTCCCAAAGCCGGAATTTTCCGGAAAATTCCGGCTTTGAGAACGATTTTCCGAGAAAATTTCAATTCCGGCTATTGGAGAGTTACGGGTTTGAGGGATTCCAGCTAACGGCGATATTACTACTGTATTATGTATGCAATGAGGGGATGAAGTTAATTTATGATATATCTGTTAAGGCAAAAATTTTTTGTCAAGAGAATATATAGGGTAGTTATTATTTATTAAAGCAATAACCATATACGTACAGTAACTTTAAGTCAGTTGGATCTGTGAATTTGTTCAGAAAAGCTTTAATGTGAAAATCATTGATTTACTCATTATTTATTGTTAACATGCTAGCAGTCGGCTTATTTAATGCAAGGGAATACCATTGAAGGTTAGGTTTAAACACATTACTGTTAGCTCCATATCTATCTTTTGGTGAGCACATTGTTATACATTTATCTGTACATCTTGTTAGAATTCCTAGTTAATAAATTATAGTAAAGTCGTGGGTATCCCAATGGTAGGACAGGGAAGAAGGGGGACATCTCAGAGACGGCAGCCCACAACACGAGAGGGTCTGGATGAGAGACAAGGTAAGATTCATTCTCTCTTTTGTACTTTAACTCCTCTTATGTGTCTGTGTCTATGATATTACTTTTTAATTTTATCCTCTTCAACACTGATCGCCTCTTGGGCTATCGGTCATGTCTTTGTTACACACTGTTGGCAAGTACTGTACAGTACTGGGCATGCACTGGCTCCTGAATGTATCTAATTCTGCTCCAGTGTTGGTCAAGTCTGGTCTTGAAACAACTCACACTCAGCGCCGTCACAACACTGGCAGGTTGTTCCAAGAATTCACAACTCTAACTCAGAAAAAGTTTGCCCTCACAGTTATATATACATATACATGGGTATATCTTTCTACTTTGTTTTGATGTTATTGTACCTGTTTTGTTTTACCGATGTCTATTTATCTGCTTATGTTAATGTTTGTTTCATTTGATTTTGTTGCAGATGCTTGTAGAATAAAGCCTAAGTTGAATTTTGTTTCTCTTATGGGCCTACTACAATAAACATTGCTTACTACAATTTCTTTGTGTACAAAACATGTAGAGACATCATCTTAGTGTGATATAATCAGTTTTTCACCATGTTTTACCCCGCAATTTCCCTTATCCTTCACTCCTTGTCGCCTCTTTTAAAATACAGTACTTATTATAATGATAAGAAAACCTTGGAAAAATTAAAGAACTTTAACAACTCCTTTTGGTGGTAATGGCATGGTCATAAATTACCATTAACCCCTGTACCCTTCATATACAATACTATACATATCTTATAGGTAAATAATAATGTCATCAGGAATGCATCTCCATATCTGCAACATTACCAAATACATTTCTTTACCACAATCAGAGCAGTTGTTGCGAATAAAAGTTTTTACACTGTTTTGTTAACAGCCTCGCACCTCAAAAATACCTTAGCTTTCATCTTGATTCAAGACGTCTTCAGGTCATGAGACCCAATAATCCCCCACAGCTCTGTGCCAGTGAAATATACAGCGAGTCCTCGTTTAACGTTGCCCCCGACAACATTGTTTCGTTATAACGTCGCTACTCTTTAGATACCCATGATTCGGACAATGTCCCGCCGATTCGGTATAACGTCATCACGGACTACTTTGTACGACGCATCACCTTCTATCACCCAGTCAGAGCGGGAGGAGGAGCCACCCTCCTCTCCCATCCTCCTCCTCTCCCACCCTCCTCCTCTCCACCACACACTCGCTCCACCTCCACCCATCAGTGAGTACAATACAAAATGATTTAGTTTATTTTATCTTTTTCGGTGTATAATACGTATACAGTATACTATTTTCAATAAAAATTCCATTGAATTTATGTAAATGTACAGTATTTTATGGGGCAAAGGGAGGCTGGGGAACGTAACTCCTGTATTTTATCCATTTCTTATAGGGAAAATTTATTCCTTTAACGTTGTTTCCATTAACGTCGCTGTTTTCAGGAATGGAACCACAACGTTCAGCGAGGACTTACTGTACCAGTCTTCGCTGGAACACAGCTTCGTTCATGACGCACCTCACATACCCGTACTGTATCATATAAAGTTTTAGGGTTGTTTTTGTGTATTTATTTAACCACTTTTATAGAAAAAATATTCAGGATTATTCTTGTAAAGAAATGGAGTTCCTAACTTAATTAGAACTGCTTTTACAGACTTCGGTAGTTTAGACTCTTGGAAATTTTTCCACAGCACCCAGAAACATTCTGAGGATGTGGGTTAGTGTCTGTTTGTGCAAGATGTGTAGTTTAGACTCTTGGAAACTGTTCTAAAACAATGGAAGAATTTCCGGGATAAGGAATATTTCCGGGCTTGAGAAAGTTGTTGCATACCCGGAAATCTCTCATCCCCAGAAGTGCCAAGCACCAATTGTTCTGGATAATAGGGATATTACTTACATTTAAATGCTGCTTTCAATATGTACCAGTAACTTACCATCAGAGTTTGTATTCATTGACTATTTCATATGAATATTTTATATCTACTGTATTAATTTATGGCTCTTTATTATTTGTTTAATATAGTTTTGTTAATTTTTATTAGTATTATTGATATTTTCATTTATTATAATTGTTTTTGTATTAATTATTATTTTTTATTATTTTATTATTATTAATTTTTATTATTTTATTATATTTTCACCCACCGGGCCTTGATGTGGGTCATTATAAAATGGCCTATGCCCGGTTGGGTTAATGCCCATAAAAAAAAAGTTGAGAATTTCAGATTTCCATCTTCATTTTCAGAATTGGAATAACTGAAATAATTTGAGTGTTTAAGTTTTTATTTTCCATTAACAGTAGTCCAATATCATCTTTATAGAACTGTACTTCATTCATTCTAAAGCCAGTACTTGCCAACAGTGTGTAACAAAGAAATGACTGACTGCCCAACCGGCCAGAGTGCAGACCAGTACTGAAGAAGCTAAAGTGTAGGAATAAAAAAGAATATTGTTACCTCTTATTGTTTTTAGTTATAAATCAAATACTGCTGCTATTTAGTGGTAAATTCAGAGTAATACTGGTGTTTAGTTATAGAATCATACCCAAAAGGGAATCTGAGTGATATATATCTTTCATTTTTAGTTGTTGGTTTAGACCAGGGTGGCCAGACTTCAGTGAGGTGCGAGCTACTTTTTCCAGTCACCCTAACGAGATCCATCCCAGCACCAGCCCCCCATAAGAATCTTGTCATTAATGTAAACTGCCATCCTTACCATACCGGTGTGATGCTATAACAAATGTAGGCGACACTTTAATGATATCTTACATAAAGATGATGTGATGGTAGCGGTAGGTGTCACGAACCTAACCTTTTAATTTGAGGGATAATCTCAGCGCCACACAGAACTGATGACGAGAGGCTATGTTCTGTGCTGCGATCTACTAGAAAATGGTGCACAATCGACCGGTAGATCGGGACCAACGTTTTGGCCACCCATGGTTTAGATTCTGGTGAATCATCTGATCAAAAGTGTGCACTTAAAACCAAATTTGTTGAAACACAGGCTGCAGTAATACAATACATTGTAACAACAACACACCCAGAAAATATGTCCTCCAGTGTAACACAACTTGCTTTTTCAGGCTTAGCTGATACTGGAGAGATTTTCGTAGATGGAATCAGAACAGCACGTTCACTCTTCCTTCTTCATTCCAAGGAGACGAGTCTTCATCACCTCCAACCTGTCACTACCACAGTTTCTTCTGTCCATCTCTCCTCCTCTTCTCAGTCTTCCTCTGTCTCCCCTAATTCATTCCCTGTCACTACAAAACCAGACAAGTGGACGAGTGATGCAGATCTGCTACTTCCAGAAGATGAGCGGTCAGAGGATATGTGTCCGACCCACACGCTGCACCTGACAGATCGCTGTGCCTGGCCACACTGTAACCACGCTTGTCCAAAGTTGCTGAATCCTTTTACAGGTAAGCAAGAGAAAGCTGCTACTTTGCTTGAGCACTGTATAACAATAATCCAGATTTTCATTATTTTTCAAAAGGGGCAATGTCATGATTCACAAACCTGCCATTACCATAGATTATTGTCCGGTAGATTCTTCTAAACCATAAAGCATCACACATTCAATAATCATTTCTGTATGTCATATGACAAACATTGTTGTTTATAAAGAAATAAAAACCATAATATGAAATATAGTCACAGGATTACATTAAGTTTGGCTCGCTCATCTGAAATAAGTACTGTATAAAATCAGTCTTGACGAGTAGAAACGAAAATTACTAGGCTGACCTGACAAGAAGAACTTTTAATGGGATATTGACCCAAAAAAATATTAAATATCAACATATACAGGGTATATTCAGACCATAAAAAATCACTCCCTGACTCCTCCTAGAGGGTTAACCAATGTCTCAGAGTGACTCCAACCTCCCTTGCAATTTCCGTGGCCAATAATTTCCCTGTGACCAATAATTTCCCAATGATTCGCCAATTGATGCTCTGTAGCATCCATCCTGGAGTGGGTGTGGAGCAGTGGGCAAACGCCAAAACGACTAACACCTCATCACCTCACATTGATTTTCGCAATTCTAATTACAGGGTGGTCAAGTCGCATTCTGTCCAACAATTCATTCTTATTTTTTTTATCACTTAATAGTTTTTTTGTTTTGTTTTTCCAAGAGCGGTAGTGGCGAGAGGTGAAAGTGTTTGATTGATTGTGGTAATAACATCCCTGGTGATACAACAGCTGAGGTCATATGTCGCCGAATTAAAATATACAGTAGGCTTAAAAAACTAAATTCAAATAATACTGTACAAGGTAAAAAACATGAATAATGAATAGCATAGAACTCATGTAAAAGCCATTTAAAAGTTATTAGATGAGACTCAAAGCTTGTGTGGAAGACCGGCTTCCTCCATGACGGAGAGGATGTCCCCTCTCACACTATCCACCCCACCCCACCGCACCAAAGAGAGACAGAGACCCCCCAACCCCCCGGCATTGGAAGAGGCGCTTACTACGAAGATCTCGGGACTGGGGCACTCCATCAGGAGGTATCAAACAGTCAATGGGACCAGGCAGTTACCACAGTGGGGAGGGGACACTCTCTCTCTCCATTAAAAAAAACCTTGAGTCAGCTGTGTGTGGCCAATGCGAAGGGGGGCTCAAGCAGTCTCCCGGAGGCACAACAGTCCCTGATATCCCCAGGCACCCAATGCAGGGTGGATATCGTGGAACTTGTTTGCTGAGTGGAAGTGATCAAGTAACAATTCATTCTTGTTTTTGTTTTTTTCAAGAACAGTAGTGGCAAGAGGTAACAACCTAGTTTAGTGTTACTGGTGGTGAGAAAACCATGCCCTTCCTCTCTTATGTTCTCATATCAAGGACTGTCCCTCACGGAAGCCAGACGTCTAATCAACCCTAATAACGCATTACCTGCCATAAGCTCACTCGCATTCCTCTTCAAAATCTCGAGTAAAGGCATAGATAACTGAGGGAAAGTTAAGTCCATATGACACCTCCCCAGACACCTGCTCTACTGGCTGGTTGGTTTTGGGGGCTTTAGGCACTATCAACTGCCAGGGTCAAGCTGCATCCACCAACCATAACACATTCTTCAGGTGTTAAGGATAATTCTAAGACCACATACACTCACTATGTACAAGTATGTGGCCCTTGACTTGTGTCCTACTACCCTACTCAGGATCACCTACCCCAGCTCTCCCTACATCAACACCTCCCCGACCCTCTTGTGACCTGATGTGTAGAACGGCCTTGAGGTCACGGGTATGGTAGTAGGAGGGGGTGGATAATTTCTTTTGACCGCGACTGTATATGGAGGGAGGCCCCCTGGGTAGACCTTAGCTACAGGTTGTCTGATATGCTTGGTTTAACTACAAGGTGTATTGTTGTAGGTTTATTGTAAAGTTAAAAGCACTGAGTATATTATCAATTAAAACATAGTTAACAAAACATTCAGAGATGATGAATTTATTTTCGTTGTCAGTACAGTATTTGTTTTATCATAAGCGGTTTAATTTCATGTCTAGTTTCATGGCTTTGTGAAGAGTTATTACACATCAGTACATAGAAGACTAAATTGATTGATAGATAACATTTCTATGTTAATGATAAAAGTAATTGAGGTGGTGATGTATTGTTGTACTAACCCTGTGAGTTACCCTTAAAACTTGAATTTAGACTTACTGTAATACTTTAAATTATTCCTCTGTACTGATGCTTTCTGTTTCTCACATTGCATTAACTAGATTAAATGTATTTTTACTTGAAAAATTTGTGATGATGAACACTGGGTTTAAGCTAATACAGTACTACTCTGTACTCTATACTGTATTTTGAATTTAACTGTCCGACTGTTTTAGTAAGCAAAGAAACATCTAATACTGTACTACAAGGTTTTGAACTTAATGTTTTTACTGTACGTATATCATGCTGTGTGCTATATTATCCCAAAATTACTTAATGCAGTATAATATAAAACCACACGATTCATATTTTCAGGTGAAGAAATGAACTTCACAGAACTGCTAAAGAGCTTTGGACTTGACATGGCAAGTGTAGCCAATGCACTTGGGATCGACATCCATACGCTTAACTCCATGGGAAACAACGAACTCCTCCTCATTCTTACACAGTAACCTCTGTACTGCATCCCAGTGTGAAATTTTGAACCTATTGAAGAACATCGTCCATGAAATGCTGTATTTATGTTTGGATGGTATGACTAAAAGCTCAGGCAGTATTATGTGTTTTGAAAGGTATGTGCTGTACAGACTGTATCTTGAAGAAGTTGTAGTAGATTATTGTATATGTTGAAGTACTGTATGCACATACTGTACAGTGTACAAGTCATGTCACCATAATAGTCTAGTGAAGACCTTGGTTTATCAGATAATGTTTTGGTATTTAGAGCTTCAGTTTTATAGTCCTGTGTTTTACAGTGCAGTAGAGAGCCAGTGACCACACCCATCACAGTACTGTACGTACTGGAAGTTTTGTCTGAAATACATGTAGTTTGTCTCTCTCTCTCCTACATCACCAGCTCTTCACTCAACACAAAGTCTGTCATCACACTTTCTTCTGAATGCTGTACTGCATATTGTTCCTGCATAAACATTCGTTTGATAAATAATCATCCACACTAAGAGTCTGACTAACAACTCAACAACTCGTCATAACTGAACAGGGAAGGTCATCACTGCTGGTCATATACATGTAACCCCCTTGTGTACAAGAGTCTCTCTCTGCTGAATAAAATCATCTGGCATTAGCAAAACAATACTGTATATTAAAAGTGGTCTCCCTAAAGTGAAGGGGATAATTTGCTTTGTCACTTAATCACATGTTTACAACAGCTCAGGCTTAAAGTGTTCTCCATTTGTTGTTACGCTGGATTGAAGTTCCTCCCAATTGTACAGTTGTGTTTATTCTCATCTCTAGTTTTGATGTTTTACAAGTTCAAATATTAAGGAGCTCTGGTATAAATGCTCATCAGGCAGGTGTGTCATCTAATGGTTTCTTTGTTTAAAGATAGAATTTATACATACATTTGAGTAATGACAATAGGAATGAATTCACACGTCGTTCACACATATAGCTTGGTATGAGGCAGTTTAATTTACACTCAGAAAATAGAGGAATTTTAATTATAAATTATTATACTTTTTTTCCTATCCACAAAAATGATAAGATAGTATAAGAAATACCCATACTTCTTGAGGTCCTGCAGTGTATCTGTATACTGTACAGGGTATGTGATATTGTTTAACCCCAGGGCTCTTATGTTGATGCAGTCCTCTCGATTAGTTACCTCAGATATACTATGCAGTAATTTTGTATGAGTTAGTAGAAGGCAGTCCGTGAACTATAAAGCATCAGCTTATGAAAATTCGAAGTTACAAAATAGAAAAATGTCCCATGCTTTAATTTATGAATGAAAACCCCTAAGTTACAAAAAAAATTTTTATTTTTTTTTGCTATTTTCGTAATATTTTTTAAGTAATAATGAAAATACTGTATACTAAAATAATATATATATATTTTTTACAACCATCATGCTTTCTTATTTCACTAACATTTTTCATTATTCTCAGACACTCGTAATGTTATTAGTTTATAAATAAGCGTTTAGTGTCATAAATCTCCTACAGTATCCTTTTATCTTCCTCCTCAAACTCATTCAAGACAAGAACTGTAGCCTCCATCCCCACCACCACACAGTCACTCAAGACAAGAACTGTAGCCTCCATCTCCACCACCACACAGTCACTCAAGACAAGACCTGTAGCCTCCATCTCCACCACACACAGTCACTCAAGACAAGACCTGTGGCTTCCTATCTCCACTACCACACAGTCACTCAAGACAAGACCTGTGGCTTCTTATCTCCACTACCACACAGTCACTCAAGACAAGACCTGTGGCTTCTTATCTCCACCACCACACAGTCACTCAAGACAAGACCTGTGGCTTCCTATCTCCACCATTTACACACAGTCACTTGGCCTGTTGCCTGATGGTCCAATTTCTCTTCATTTTCTCTCATATAATACTTGGGAAATTTAATAAAATGAAAATAATTAGCTATGTACTCTTAAATTTCATGTGCTAATTATGTACAATGAATGTGTAGAGTTGTAAGCAAAAGTGTGGAATTTCGAAGTGAAAATTTTTTTGGAGGTGTGGATATTGCTGGCATGAGAAAGTGACTGTAGCTGAGACAAGGCAGATGCCTGGTGACTGGTTGACAATCATTGTGGTGGTCTGTGTGCTGATTGTTCCAAGAGTTCACAACTCTCACTCCAAAAAAGTTCGTCCTCACGGTTTTCTTGACTTGCAGCTTCTTCAACCTTGAGCTGTGACCCCTTGTGGGGCGGGCATCTGCCGGCTCCAAGTAAGGACACTCAACCGAGTAGTGGCCTTTGAGATGTTTATATACCTCAATAAGGTCTCCCCTTGCCCGTCTGTAGTATAAGCTACACAGTTGCAGGCGCTCTAATCTCTCTGGATATCTGAGGTGCAGACACCAGTTTGGTGGTCCTTCTTTGAACATTTTCAATCAACTGAGTCCCTAGCATATCTCGGGGACCAGAAGGGGTGACGGTATTCCAGGCGGGGAAGCACCTTACTTTTGAAGATCATTACGAGGGACGAACCGTCTAGATACAGATGTATCTAAACAACCTTCTTATAAGACCTAAAAGTTTAGTTGCTTGATTCACCTTCTCACAATGGCCTGACAACTTCAGTCAACATACACACCCAGGTCCTTTTCACGTTTGGTCTCCATTAATGCAGTCTCTTCGTCCTGTTGGGACATATGATATGCCTCCTTATTATTGGTGTGACCGAAGTGCTTCCTTTTGCACTTCGTGACATTGAATTTTAGCAGCCATTTCTTCAACCATTCTTGAAGCTCACAGAGATCTTTCTGCAGCTCTTCACAGTCTGTTTGGTTCTTTATTTCCCTAAATAACTTGGCATTGTCCACAAACATTTGTATGGAGGAGTGTATAACTTCTGGCATGTCATTAATGAAACAAACAATCAACAACGGGCCCAGTACACTGCCCTGTGGTACCCTGGTAGTTACAGGTACACATGACGATTTTGTACCATGCTAGGACACTCCCCCGAATCCCATAACCTTCCAGTTTAATTCACAGCCTTTCGTGGGGTACACTGTCAAAAGCCTTGGCAAAATCTAGGTACAGTATACAGTATATTGTCGATATTTCTGCCTTGTTCTAGAATTTGAGTCCAAACATCTAGTACCTTGAGTAATTGTGTTAAGCAGGATCGTCCAGTCATAAAACCATGTGGGCCTTCTGAGTGGATACTGGTGATAGTTAATGGAGAGCCGGTGACTGTATAGCAGGTGGAGCTGGTGTTGGTCAGTGCCACGTAGGCCGTGGCTTGTAACCCAAGCAGATTAAGGACGGTAACGGGACTGCTTGCCCCGTCCTGCCCAGCCCAGCCTCACCCCACCCAGCCCTGCCTCGCCCTGTCGGCCAATACTGTAGTACATGTATACATCACACAAGTCCATAATATTAACAGTAGTGGGGGGAGCTTATAAATAAACAATGAGCGTTGCAAACATACGGTATATGAACAATGTGCAGTACTCGGGGTGCATATGGTAGTTGAAGTTTGCAGACTGGGAGGACACCAGTGAGGGTGGGAGGCTGGCAGAGAGCAATTAATTAAAAAATGTATTCGCGAGAGGAAATGTTCCAAAGACAAACATTTATCAGGAAGTCAGTTAGGGGAGACAGGTATAGGGCTTTCTTAGACAGCCAATAATCGAGAGCATTTTGATAATTTTAATTTCCAGTCCATTTCAGAAGCCTATAAGCTAAGTAGTGCAGGATGAACCATCAGTTAGAATAAAAATGTTCCATATACAGTACATGAAAGTTATAAATTATAGTTAGACTTCAGTAATCATTTAACATTATCAGAAAAATAAAAACACCAACAATTTGTAACAAACTGTTAATACACAGTAGTTTCACAGCTCAAATTTATATACAGTACAATTAATTTTGTATCAAAAATAAAATCGCCAAAGTTTTCTTGCAAGGTATTATAATGCGAGTGGCTTTCCCTACAGGTGTTTTCAAAGGTTTATTAGCCCTTTGTGTATGGGGCTGAATAAATTCATCTTACATTAGCCAAATGAAATAGTAAAAGTGGCATCCTTATAGTGAAGCAGTTAACAGGCAAATATTAGTGATAATAACTAAGGTGTTAGATCAGAATATTCTTTTATGTGTAGATAATAGTAAATATTGTATATTTCTTTCAAATGCTTAATTGAATATTCAGAAGAGTTCCTATAAGGAAACAATTTATATACTGTAAATAGACTAGATTTTAATGCATTAGTTATGTTAATATTTAAAAAATTATTTTTGTATATATACAGTACTGTACAGTACCTCAAATTTTGATGAGTATCCTAACCTTAAAATAAATTATAGAAATATGACTAGACAATGTTGTGTTGCTAAATTATCAAAGGCTATCATTCCCTAGCATCTGATAGCAAGATTTCTTCATCATAATGTACTTCATAGTATAGAAAACTCAGGTAGTAATAAAATATTAACATATTTCTTAACTCTTCTCTACTTTATTCTGTTGGTTTAAAGAAAAAAAAAGACCTTGAAATGAAGAAGATAGACTTACCCTGATGTTCAAAGTACAGTAACATGGTTTAATACTATCAAAACTTCTCCATAATTTTATCTCTGTTCCCACTTTTATATACGTGGAGAATCAAGAGAATCAAATGTAAAGACAGGGTGTGGGACAGTACATAGTGCAAGACAGTACAGTATGGTGTGGGATAAGGTGCATGGTGTGGGGCAGTACAGTACATGGTGGGGGAACAGTACAGTACATGATGTAGGGCAGTACAGTTCATGGTGTGGGGCAGTAAAGTACATGGTGTGGGGCAGTAAAGTACATAGTGGGGAACAGTACAGTACATGACGTGGGGCAGTACAGTTCATGGTGTGGGGCAGTACAAGACATGATGTGGGACAGTACAGTACATGGTGTGGGGCAGTACAGTACATGGTGTGGAACAGTAAGCTGAAGACCTGAATACAGTTTAATGGTATGAAGCTTTGGTGCTAGAGATGACTCAAAGAGGAATTTTTTTTTATATTGATAAGTTATCTCAAACTGCCGAGTAATATTTACATAGGGTTTGTGTAGGGGAACCTTACATGGCAGAATATTGTTTAGTAAGTTATTTCTCCAAGGTTGGCAAGATCTTTTGACTCGAGTTATTTTGCCCTCAATTAGAGTATGAAGTGCTTTACCAAGTTATCAGAGCACATATTCGTATGTTTTCAATCCGTTTCGATTCACTGGCCATCCTAGTTGTTATGTTACACTTTATACCTCATTTGAAGCTCGTTTTACATTTTATTGTCTTGATACTTACCATGGCCCTTTTCACAAAGTGCATGCAAATTTACCATTCTCTTATCACCAAGTTACAGTACTACAACAACAGCACTTGTACAGCTTATAAAAGAAACATCCTCTTTCAGTAGATTCAGGGGTCCTTAAAAACTCTTGGGGTTTTCATACACAAAATTATGTATGATCTTGCAGCTTGTGCTGATTTCTCATGCATCACAGTGATTTCATTTATTCATAAAGAGTGTTGTGAGAGTATTGAACCATGACTTGTGTTGCTGGCGAGGGTGGAGGGAAGAAAAATGCAAAAAGTGCAAGGAGATTACACCTTGTGGTGATAGTGTGGTGCCTCCTGATGCCTCTCCCAGTGTCCCTGCTTCATCTAGTTTGTTTGGCTCTTCAACAAGCAGTCCCAGTGCTATGACTCAATATACACAGTACAATTATCTTTTGGGCTCGGAGGGAAAAAATGAATACAGTACTCTGTACCTGGCCTGGGTGCACTCACCAGAATAAAATTTACACCACTATTATCTAGTGAAATATTAATTTTTTTACAACTTTTGTTCTATAACTATTTTTCCAAAATTGTACTGTATGCTTTATAACAGAATAAGGTTCATATTGCAATCACATGAAATAACGAAGGTATGAAGTGATGTAGTTTAAACATTTTCATTAAGCGTAAACAAAAATTTGTGTTCTCCTTGCGCTTGTGTACAAAAATAATTCTTTTATTGTTATTACTTATATAAAGCTGTAGATAATTTATATACACTGCTAATGAAACAAATCCCACTTTTTATCTCAAATAGCAAACTCACTGCAACTCATTACATACGTACAATTATCTCTCGTGTGGTGCAGTGAGGTGAGTAATAGGCCAGACATCGAGCGTCTCGCGGGAGAGCACCTACCCAAACCCAAGAGTGTCAAGTAAGCTGCCACATCTTCAGTATCTCATAATAGTACAGTACAACACCTTCTACAGGTACAATATGTAGTACTAAATTATAACCTAATAACAAAATCAAGTAAAGTAGAGGTATTCTGGTAGGTAGGATTTAGCTCCAAGAATTTATTCAAGAAGTTGTACAGTTATTGTCCTGGACAGTGTAAGAATGGCTTCATTAAGTGGTGGTGTTTCAGTAATGTTTATGGTTTAATTAGTGTTTGGTTCTACATTTGGAGTTTTATTTTATAATGATTCTCATGGATAATTGTTTTTTTTTAAATCTTGAATTAATTATTTTAATATTGTCTCTGTTAACAAGATGATGTTTCTGATATACTGCAATAAGGGAATGTTGCTTAGTTGGGGGACGACTTCACTAATTCTTTCTATCCTTTTATTTTGACTCGTACGTACTTTCATAAAATAAGTTTGTAGAATTCCACTGCAGTTGTTCCTTGCAGTTATCAACAGCTGTGTTCCTGAAAAATCACTGCATTTGTGAACTTTTATTTCAATGGAAAATAAGGGATGTATTCCAACCCCCTCCACTGGATTCCCATGTTGACCACACAGGTACTGTCCTGTACTGTACTGTACTGTACTGTCCAAGAAAAAAATTGCATTACACTTACTGTGCCTTATGTTCTGAAACCCAAGAAAAAGAATTTTGTTAAAGATCCCCATTCAGAGTCGAACCTCAAAGCTTTGGTGTCACTTTACCAAAATTTTTCGTCATGGCAAAAGGCATACGCTTAATATTAATTTTTTTCTTAGACTGTACCCGCAGAAAGAAAAAAATATTGCACACTGGACCTATTTATGTAAAGAGCATTGCGTAATGAATTAAATGCCATAATTTACACTACTATAACTTATGATCATCTCCAAAACCCATTTCATGAATGTAATTCCACTACAATTTTCTGCCCCAGACTGATGGTGAGCCACAAGTACATGCCAGATATTGCTAAGTGTCAA